CTGGCTATTATTAAAAATGATCACGTCTCTTCCAATCAGTTCTGTTAAAAGATTCTTAGCGGTAACCTAACAAAAATTTTTATAGGACGGTTTCTTAAGAAAAGACCCCCCCCCCCCCCACCTATCTTACCGACGAGTTTCAAGCCATCTGTATAGACGTCAATATTATCTATCGAGTGGAGTGTTAATACCTTCTTTAACCTCCTCCCTGCTTGAGATTCTTGGGCTAAAGTTGCTTTCCGGAACCGATATCAAAGCGCTACGGTCTGTGTTATCGGAATGAAGCAAAATTTATTTACTATTAAAGAGTGACCCTGGGCTTCAGGTTATCATTGTTATCAAAACTAAATAGGTCCCTATACAAAATTTTAAAAATGGTTTCAAACGAATAAAAATTATAAGTTTTTTGAGATACTTTCAAATCGGTCTTGCACAGGTAAATCTCCATTTATATTTTCGATTGGTTTTTTTTTTTATGGAGAATGATGCACCCTAATGTACATTTATATACGGTATATCTCTTATAAGTAAATTTTTTACCTGCAGGTTTTCTCAGCCTACCTGATCCCGCAGTTGGTGTACCTGGCAACGCCGGCCTCAAGGATCAGCTACTCGGGCTCCAGTGGGTTGCTGATAATATAAGCGCTTTCAATGGTGATCCAAAAAATATAACACTTTTCGGTGAGAGCGCTGGTGCTGCATCCACACATTATATGATGCTCACACCGTTAGCCAAAGGACTCTTCCACAAAGCGATACTAATGTCAGGCACAGTCCTATGTCCATGGGCGCTGTCACCAGTCAAAGAATTACCAAAGCGCCTGGCGCAAGCAAATGGCTATACTGGCGATGGAAGCGTTCGAAGTGTGCTAGATTATCTGCAACATTTGCCCGCTGAGGAGTTAGTACGCCCGTATTTGTTGACGAGAGAGGAAAATATGGATGATTGTCTATTCGCATTTGGTCCTGTGGTAGAACCGTATCTAACAGACAACTGTATTATACCAAAACAGCCGCACACTTTGTTCGCAAATGCCTGGGGCAACGACATACCACTCATAATTAGTGGCACATCCTTTGAGGGCCTACTGATGTTTGCACGCATACACATGGCACCGTATTTGTTGCACGAACTGAATGAGAATCATCAGCACATGTTGCCACTGGAATTGAAGCAGAAGCATGATCTAGACAAGCAAAAGGAATTGGCTTCAAAGTTGCGTGAAACACATTTTGCCGAAAAGGAGCTGCGCATGGAGCATGTGCTCAACTATTGCGAGGTTAGTTTTTTCGGGTATTATATGTAAATTTTTATATTATTTCACTGATTTTGGTTTTTCCCCCTATCTGATTGTAGTATGCTTCCTATAAAGTATTCTGGCATCCCATATTGCGCACCGTAAAGGCACGTCTACGACACGCACGCGCACCTACCTACCTCTACCGTTTCGACTTTGATTCGCCCGAATTTAATCATCAGCGCATCGGTTACTGCGGCAAGGAAGTACGCGGAGTTTCTCATGTTGATGATCACTCATATCTTTTCTATGGCAACTTTGCCTGGAAGTTGGATAAGGATACACCAGAATTTCGTACAATCCAGCGTAAAATTGATATTTGGACATCATTTGCTGCAAACTCAGATCCAAGCTGTGAAAAGCTCGGTGAGAGCAAATGGATGCCATTGCAGTCAGATGGGAAACTGCATTGTTTGAATGTTGGGGAACATTTAGAAGTTATCGAGCTACCGGAGATGCATAAGCTGCAAGTATGGGATAGTCTGTATGAGGTTGAGGAAGAATGACAAGTGCTCGCTGGGCACGCGGATAGTAAAAAATTGTGTTTAAGTAGCAGTATTTTTATGAAGAATGTTATGTTTATGCGTCAGCTAAAGTTTAATAGCCTGATTATGGCAACTTAACTTAACTTAAAGGGACTTAGGACTTAGAAAATCAAAATGAAACAGATTTCGACGTGGCATTAAGTTTCGGCTGTTAAATTAAAAGTAAAATCCATTTAACATAATTTTTAAATGAGAGCTTATAAGTTACGTTAAGTTGCCATAATCAGACCATAAGAGCGATTTTATTTTTTGTGTAATGTACTACGTAAAGCAAGACAGTAAATTTGGTTACTCAACGCGATATATTAAGAAAATCACATGCTTGTATTTTTATCGAAGGGCAACTATTTACATTATACTATATACATAGATACATAAATACCGTATAATTTAATTTACTTTTTTGAAATTCAAAAATTTCTATCTTTCGGGAGGCATTCAATGGTCATCAATTTGCGGTGAAAGCGATCCATTAACCAAAAGCCGAGTCAAAGGGACGTTTTACAAATTGAGTACTGAGTTCGAATGTGCTGAGTGCAAAAGTTCATCTGCATCCGAGGTAACTCTATCAATATCTCATCACATTTAGTCCTAAAGTCATCTTCAAGCCTTTATGCAAGCATGATAAAGTTAGGTAAAGAAAGTGTGTTTGAAAGTATTATCCCTCCCTCAGAGGCTGGGTTAATGGTGGAGTCTTCTGTCGAGAGCTTCCCATCAGTATTAAATTCAGGTTTCAGGCAGAAGTAGCTGCTATTAAGAAGGCAGTGGAGTTACTGCTCATGAGTACGATGACAGTTAGGGAAGTGAGAATTTATTCTCATAGCCAAGCGGCTACCAAGGCCTTAAGTGCGTTGGAGGTGTGCTCTAATTTAGTTAAGAAACGTCTGCTCTCTCTTTCAGTTACGTCGGAATACTTCTGTATTAGGCTCATTTGGGATTACAGCATCATTGCAGGATACTAACTATGTGGCCGGCGAATTGGTTAGGAAAGATACCCTTTAAGCTTTATCATTGGATAAGTGCGGTTGGAGCGGCCATTGATCGCCAGTGATACACTCTTGATTGCAAGGCCAAGGGGGGACAGGGGGCAGCCGAGAACTCTACTCACACTTACAGAGCCACAGCTCTAAATCTTGGTGGGGATTTTGACGGGTTACTTTCCGAATGGTGTGCCGCAGTTGCCTGAAATTTGAGTAGGTCGAGCCAATTCATCACTGCTTTCAAAAGTACCCAGCGTTCACGAGACTAAGATCATTGGGATATTGAGTTTAGCCGAATTTTTAACTACATACTCGGCTCGTTCGCTTTATCGATTAAGTTTTGGCCGCCGTCCGGAATTTGGTATCACAAATGACAATCTCTAACTGTCTAAGTCACATCCGGGACTGCCACCTTAGCTCAAGAGCAAGTTTGGCCACTGTAAATAACCTCTACGGCAGCCAGCGAAAGGCACATCCCTCTAGATAATTGATTAAAGCATTGCGACCAGTAGGTCTATTATGCCCTTCATCGGCGTTATTCCAAAGTGTCTTTACAATCTCTGTTCGAATTAATTCTGATTGCTACTTTTATCCAGTGCTTTCTATCAGACTAGATCTCCAAAGTGCAAAAACCGTGAGATGACTATGGTCGACGTTGCGATTTGACGCTACACTCCAAAAAAAAATCTGTTTAAAAATGAGACTATAAATCGAGTACCTTTTTTTTTAGCTTTAAAATTGTTTGGTGAACTTACACGAAGAAGATTTATTTTTCTCGTTTACACATTTTCGTGTTTTTGTTAGCGGCTTTACACAATTCTACGGGAGAAGTCAAACAGCAGATATGTATTTTGTAGCTTCGTAGTAAATTTCCGCACACCACAGCAGCTATATGACACTCTAAAAAGTCCGAAATTTAAACAAACTATACGTTGAATAATCGCGCATATAATTCCGCCAATAATAAGGTAGGAAACCAGTAACCTACCTTTTAGCTAGGAAATTAACATAATTTTTTTAGAGTGTAGTTGATACTCATGCCCATTTAAATAAGTAAAAACACTACACAGTGCCGATTTCATCGTATTCCTTTAAAGGTGTCTAATAGTTCACTTAATACCATGAACTACAGAAAGTGGCTATAGCACCCCTCCCTGCTGAGATATTCTTTTCATCACATGCCATGTCACTCCAGTAACTTTTAATTGGTACCGAACACTTCATGGATGATGCTTATGGCGTACTACGCTGTGGATACAAGTACAAGCCAAGTTAGCTAGTAGGATATAAAGTGAATATTTGTTCGGCTGTTCGGTGTTCGCACCTTATACTCGTATAAAATTATCTGCACAGAGCTTTGTCCTACTTGTCAAACTTAGAAAAACTCCAGTCGAGCTGGGTTTGGACCTTCAAACCTCGCCTTAAGCACACAGACTGATTAATACAAATTTATCATTAACCTGTACACATAAAGTGGTAAATAAATAAATTGAAACGCGACATTTTAACAAGTTTTGCCAAAAATTATAAAAATTCTGCAAAGTTGCGTCTAAATTTTCAATTCTATAATCCGGTTTTTCAGATTTTTTTGAAAGTGCGGCTTACATTAGGATTCACCACTCTCCATACACAATAATCGGCATTGTTTTTCCAATGGAAATATATACGTTATACGGGAGCTAGACCTGTTTGAAAATACCATTAAAAATCTACTTTTTTTTTGTAAATGAAATTAGCTTTTAATATTTTTTTCTAAAAACTCGCTTCAGATTGAGAAAATTTCTCTCATCTTCATCGCCTTCTCGTTCGGTGTGGTTTTCGTCTCACCTCTGCGAAACGTTTCTTCATCATATAGCACGTTCGTTGGCCGCGGCTCATGGCCTTGTACCAGGATGGAAGGGCTGTACCCAATCGCAACAAGTTGTCCCAAATTTGCTGCTCTTCGCCCGTTAACTGCACCAACATCCTCTTTATGTTTCGGTTGGCCCTCTCTGTTGGATTCTTTTGTGGTGAATAGGGCTGCTGTTTGACCCCGTAATCTTGTAAGAGCCATTTGAACTGTCTACTTGTGAATTGAGCGCCATTATCGGTAATTATTACCTTTGGAATGCCAAATCTGGCCAGTATCCGTCCTCGGAACGCTTTGTTAAGGTTGTCGGCGGTCACCTCAACTCACTTAGCAAAGTGTTCAAGGAAGACCATCATCATGGTATTTTTTCGTGCTTTGACCGTGGTAGTGGCTCCTCCATGATCTGAGTCAGCTTGCTGCTGGTTCGGCTTGTACGTTTGGAAGGACGGACACTGTCGTACGTACCTTTTTAAATCCCAGAACATTCCGGGCCAATAATAGCGGGTGACCACTAGTGCGATTGTTTTCCGGAAACCCATGTGTCGGGCAGTTGGATTGTCGTACACTTCCTGTAGCACTCTGTTACGCAATGGCTTCACCCCACAAAATTTCCATGGGATTGCGTCGTCGTCGTCCATCTGTACTGCGATGTGGCGGTATAAAATACCGTTTTCGATAATGTAATCTGAAAACTTCTCGTGAATTTTGTTTCACCTCCTCAATTTTCCCTTGGAGCCACTTGCATGTAGGCGCTTCCTTCATGTGTCCAAGCAAGGTAATCAAAATAAAGAAATTTCGGCGGAAGTTTTAAAAATATAGTAAATTTTGTAATTCCGCAACTTCTTAGGTGTTACACCTTAATGGTTGTTCATACATATATTAACATCCATTTTGACGTGGTTAATACCTCTTTAAATCTGTATAAGTTTAACCCATTTTTCGAATATTTGCTCCGGTTTTATAAAGTTCCTCTTGCGAACGTGTATTTCTTTACTTAACTTTCTGTGTAAGAAGTCGTTCAACTTGTTGATAAATACGTAAGTATTTACCCATGCATATATATATATATATGTGTATGTAGGCAGCTTGCAGTTATATAGTAAATAAGCAAACCAATATATATTGGTAAAAGTGGAGTCTCGGTCTGAAATTCTTTTAAAAATTGGGCAGTTACGTTCGCAATGGGCTCATAGTAAGTACATTGGAATAAAAGACAAAAAAAAGCTAGAATAAGGAGTTAACATACATCCATACATACATATTGCCTACCTTTAGTATTGCAAAAGATATTCATCAACCAATAATTTCGACCACACACGGCAAGGTGAAAGGTCAGTTTCGTGAAGGAATCTACGGTGATGCGTACTATTGTTTTGATGGCATACCATACGCCAAGCCACCGCTTGGAGAGTTGCGATTTAAGTCGCCACAGCCGGCAGAACCTTGGCTAGACGTGCGCGATTGTACTAAGTGTCCACCCAAGTGCATACAAACAAATCGTTATTCGGGTGCAGTTGAAGGATCTGAAGATTGCTTGTATTTGAATGTTTACGCGAAAAAGGTCAGTTTCGACAATCATTGGTGTTGCCAAAATATTTCTATAACTTCTATAACAGGAAAACCATATCCTTTTTCTCATAAAAAATAGCTAAACTCCGAAAAGCCCTTACCCGTCATTGTATACCTGATTGGTGGACGATTTACAACGGGCGATGCTTCACGCTCAGATTGGGGTCCTGATTACGTTATGATGACGGAAGTTATATTCATAAGTATTGGATTTCGTTTGGGAGCTTTGGGTGAGTACAAAAAATAAAAGAAATATACATATATATTAAAATAAATATGTAGTAGTACAGCAAAAGGAACAGAAGAATTTAAATGTTTTGGAACCCATAACAAAAGTGTGCATTTTTTGTTATTGAAACGGCAAAAACAAAACAGCTTTCGCGGTCGTTGTCATTGTCCAGATGCAAATCTGCTTAGTTCCTGTTACATAGGATTCAGTGCACTAGAATCCATGCAAATTTTCTTCAGTGATGCATAGTTTTTTTCGTTTGGCATCTTCTTTCTCTCTATAACGCTATGAGAGGGAGCTCATAAAAAACTTAAAAAAGCTTTTCCAACGGCTATGAAAAATTCTACCCTGTTATCTATGTATGTATATTAGGGCGGGTCAAATTTCGCTAACTCCAATCTCTCAATCTCCAATGAAAGGTTTGAATGTGAATGAATTCTACTATTTTACCCTTAGACTAGCCAATGCATACAATCACACGGAATGCTCCCTAGCGGCTTTTATTTTTCAAAACAAATATACGAGCCGCCATCCTTGGTCAGACGGAAGCAGTGCATGTGAGAGTGTAGATTTTTATGGCCGGTGGGGTACCCTGTGAGCAAACGGGCATTTCGGTTTTATTCAAAAGTTGTGTGTCCTCTCAATCGAAAGCCTCATATTGCTCTGCAGTATTTACTCTGACTTCTAGGGTTTATCAATTCGGTAATTGTAAGTCTCACAGAACGAGCTGGGTATACAAAGTGCTTCCGGCCACATAAAGACGGACGATGAATTTTCTATCGCCAGTTTGCCACCTTTCTTTCGAGCCCGCAGTGACCTGGTATTCAGCACAATATTTCCGGGTTTCTGGCGACCAAGAGTTAAAGAACTTTAAAATACTCCTTGTAAAGTTTGGAGAGGATCAACCTATTGATCGTTAAGATTTCCAGCATCTCATCCTGAATAATTGCTAAATATCTGCCTCAATGTAGTGAGAACTTTACTGTCAGTTCCAGGTCCCGACACTGATTTTTTCTTCCCTCTTTGAGTGGCCTATATGTGCTTATATATGTGCTATGATATCGATAAAAGTAAAGATGAAGACAGAGGAAGAAAGATTAAAATAAAGGTAATTATAGAGAAAAGGATATAGATGGAGATCCAGAGACTCAATGTGTGAACTATTTTGGGATTTTAGAGATTTTCGGGATTCTCGGGACTCATCGATATATCAGTCGATGTTTTTATCGGTTATGTTATCGATATTTTTATCGATAATGTTACCGATTTTGCTATCGATATCTTCGGAACGTATCGACATAATTATCGATATTGTTATGGATGTGGTTATCGATATTTTTTATCGATTTTTTGTAATCGATATTTCTAGCGGATTGTTATCGATATTGTATGGGTTTTGTTATCGAAATTGTTATAGATTTTGTTGTCGATATTTTTATCTAATTTGTTACCGATATTTTTATCGATTTTGTTATCGAATATTTATTGATTTTGCTGTCGATTTTGTTATCGATGATTTATCGGTTTTGTTATCAACTTTCTAAACGATTTTTGTGATCGATTTTGTTTGCGATTATTTATCTATTTCGTTATCGATATTTTTATCGATTTTTTAATAAATTTTACTTGTATGTGAATCTCGCCCGTTCTATTAACTAAGTGTATTGACCCACTTTATCAGCTGGCATACGCTTGTTATTTCCGCTCTTTCGGTTAAAAAAAATGCTTTAAAATTGGCTTGGCAACACCCCGCGAGTAACCGCGTATAAAAAGAGTTCGAAAAAGTGCACACACATTTTGAAGTGTCGGTGAATACATATTTCGAAACAAGCCACATTTTTACGTGTACAGTATATTTTGCTTAGCTGCACATCCTTCTTTGCACGAAAAACTTGTGCACGTAACCGAAAAAGGCACTTAAGCGAATTTTCCTTACTACTTCAATGAGGAAGGTATCCGAATCCCTATGAAACCAAATATTGGAGGAGCACTTACCATGTAGAAATTACTGCAAGCGAAATTTTTACCGATTGCTATCTAATTATCTATATAACTACATAAATTGATAGCCATTATCGTTGTTCTGCGAGATGAGCAAAATAGGGCCAGTATGCATCTATCGGAGCAGTTTCCTTATAAATTTTAAAAATAATGCCTCGGATGCACATTTTAGGGTAGGTATTTTAAATGTGCACTTAAGGATAGAGGCAGCAAAGCAAAATATACTGTATTAAGTTATGTATTAAATAAGAAGTGCAAGTATATCTTCCAGGTTTTCTGAGCTTCCCTGAACCAGAACTCCAAGTGCCAGGTAATGCTAGCCTCAAGGATATATATTTAGCTCTGCAATGGATAAAGCACAACTGTCACAACTTCAACGGTGATCCCAGCAACATTACACTGTATGGACACAGTTCAGGCAGTTCTGCTGCACATATGCTAATGATGGCACCAAAATGTGAAACGCTCTTCCACAAAGTGATATTAATGAGTGGCACTCAAATGCATATACCTAAAACTCCAGATCTGGAGTATCGTTTTGCCAAACATTTGGGCTATGAGGGCGAAAGGGATAATCGCAAAATCTTGGCATATTTAATGTCGCTAGAAGCGGAGCGCCTTAGCGATCTGCAAATTTGGACACCGGGCGAGCAAGAACAATGCCTTTTTTATGTTTTTTCCATAACAATTGAAAGTGAAACCTCGCCAGATGCACTAATTACAAAGGATCCACTTGACATATTCGTCGATAAGCAGGCTTGGTCTAATAATATACCAATAGTTATGGGCAGTAATTCGTTCGAATCACTAATGCATTACAAATATTTCACG